CTCTCCCACCCGAGCACCTCTTTGGGAATTGGCTTGCTTTCTCCACCCAAGTCCTTCCTCCCAATTCAGGAATCTGACATTATTTCAGATTTGATAATCCTTACTTCCCCTCTTGGCCTCTCCACCCTAGCCGACCACCTCCCCTCTTCTCTCGGATGCTCCATCAACTCCCGGCAAGAATGCATGGCGGAACCCAAATAGAACTTTGGGTTTGTGCATGACGATCAAAATCAAGTTGACATCCTCCAATCACCATTCTTTGACGTGGGCTTCGATTTCGATGATACATCGACCGTATCCATTACACCTTAGTGGATGTGATCGACGAGCAAAGATCAAAGGGACGTTGGATCATCCTTGCACAACCGCCATCCTCCACCACTCCAGCCACCTATCCAAGAACGACGATCTTAGGCTCCTTCTTCCTCGGAGTGACCTCGATTCTAATGTGGAGACTCTTCTTCCGCTAAAACCTAGACTAGTTGAGCGTTTGGGCTCCAAATGTGAAAGTTCTCATTATTAAATCGTTGATTCTTGTTTATCGTCATAGTTTTACAATTGATCTTGGCATTTTCTTAAATGGTTTGGTTAACCGACTTCGCTCTTCTTTGCCTAAGCAAGTTAAAAACTAAAAATTCTCAGGATCAATCATTGTTATAAGTAATAAATTTATTTTGGGATTATTTTGTTTAATCTGCTCTCTTTAATTTCCTTAAAGTAACTCCTGAACCGGATTGTTTCACATCATAACATCATTAATGTTCTATCAAGCCCAGCAGAGAAATCTTCGATATGAAAAAGTTGATCTCTATCAATTATGCATCCATCAATGTTCTATCAAGCCCAGCAGTTCTCCACCTTCCTTATTCACTTCATGGCATCTTAACGATTCGTGTAATTAGCAATATCACCCAGCAATCCATTGACTACTTAAATTATTCTATAATTATTATTATACCCATTCATCAATTCATAGACTTTTATAATTATTCTTCCCTAATTCTATAAATTTTTATTAAAAGTTCTCCTAGTATTGTATAGATATTACACAAATGTTGGAATGAAATACTCAATCAATTCTCCTAATTCTTATCATGAATCATAAAAAACCAGCACTAGCACAACTTCGGATATCAAAGTGAGCAGAGACTATGATCAAATATTTTTAATCAACAAAATCATTCACACAACAAAAGACTCAATAAGATAATGAGCAAAAATAGACGTAAACATGCAGGTCTTCAGTATGATGTAACTAACTTATAATACTTAAATTCGTGGTATCCAAGCTGCAGTTTTTTGATAGGAAACACTTGTTTCAAGTATTTCTTATCAATCTTCGAAAAACAGCGAGAATTCTTCACAAAAAGTCTGCCAAAATCATGAAAGCAGTAGATAATTTGTATTATTTGATGAAAGGAAAATGGAAATTAGCAAGATACAATCGATACTCTATTCGAGAGGAGGATCGTTCTCCCCAATCTCTAGACGCCGCTAGAGCCCAAAAGAAATCCAAGAGATCTCAAATTTCAGCCAAATTCAAGATACCCAAACCCTAGGAAAACAAACTATTTAATGCATACAAATAAAAAGGAAATCCCTAAACAGTCCCTAAATTCAAATTTCTTTCTTAATTCCCAAAAAAAACTTCCTATTCGGCTCCCGCACGGTGTGCGGCTCGCGCGGCATCCCGTACAGGCGGAAAAACTCCACCCTGTTCGCATCTGGGCCGGTCCCGCGTGCGGTCTAACATTTTTATGATCTATGTAAGATGCATCATGAAACACTAGAAGTAAAATGACACAATAAGTCCATAACTAAAAGGTAAACAAATAATGTGATAAGATAGCAATCTAGTAAACATATCTAGCAAGATGAACCTTTCTATATTTGGCAGATGCAAGGCTATATTTAGGGGCATGGACACAAGGTCTGGCAAGCACATTCCAAAATATTTATAGAGCATATTTCTTTGCCAAACTATTGCTACAATGCTGCAATAGCATGCTGATAAAAATCATACAGCCCTTCTTAATACTAGCACTCAAAATACATTTTTTTTATTTAAGAAAATAGTTATGCATATATGAGACAACTGTTTCTTTACGAAATTGCACCAAATTCAATCACCTCAAGAGTTGCACATCTTCATCATTCAGCATGTTTGGAATCAAAGATGCTGCATAATTTGACAAGGAACCTGCAATTCCATGAATATAATTGAAAATAGCTAAAAAAGATTACATTGTCAGAAGGATGCAAATGTTAAACAATCTCCAGAAATTTAAATACTTAAGTTTTCACAAATTGTAGCAGCTTTATGGGTGTTAACATCCCCCGGATGCATTAAGGATGAGTCACTGGTCTCCATAAGCAAACATTCATGAAACTTCTTGAGAAACAAATTTCGTTCTTCTTCTGGTAAACAGGAAGTCTAATCAAAGAACGGTACTTATAAAAAAGGAAATCTAGCAATTTTTAATGGAATAGAATGTAGATATTTTCACCTTCGCAAAAACTAGGTACAAAGCAGTGAAGATTTGCCACTATCTTGATTAAATAAGATGTTCTCTGCTGTCCATAAGTAACTAAGTGAATACCATTGAAGTTACTATGGTAAGAGAAGTTAATTTCACTTGATAAAGAAGCTGATGATAGAATGCTTTCAGGACTACCACTCTGAAAAATCAATGCCAAACTAGCTGCAATAAATGGATCATACTCCAGATTACCATCTTCTTCAGACAAATGAACATCAACAGTACACCAATTTGATAGAAAGACTTGGTGAGGAACTGCCAAAATTTCATTAAGAACATGAATCTGGAAAGAAAAATACAAGGAAATAAGTCCTATGAATAAGATTGAATGGACATAGAAGACTGATATTAATAACTTACAGCATTTGCCATAAAAAAAGATCGAAAATTGGAATCATCAGAAAAGATATCAGCTAAACGCAGTGAATTAAGTAGTAAGAAGCCCTTTGGATATCTCCTGTCAACAGAATCACCAGCTTGTACGGCTTCTCTCTTGAATCCAACCTTCAGAATATCAAGTATCTGCATACATGATTTAGAAAATGTTAAATATTAAACAATTACTCTAGATAACAGAATATTGAGATAAGGTTAGACAACCATTCCCAATTTACAAAACAAACCTGTATTGTTATTGATTTTGCCAGATGCAAGCTCTTTTGGCTACCAGCAACCTCATCAAGGTACGAGAAATTTTCAGCTTCACAGAGTTGCAGTAACTGCAATAGAAGTAACCAGTTATGAAATACAAGCGATTAAAAACAGCGCCTAAATACTGAATACAAGCATGTTGAACTCACAATGGATAGTATTCGTGATTTCAATCTAGAGATAGCAGCCACAACATCAAGAGACTCCTTAAAACACTCTGGAATAATTAACTTCAGAATGTTACAAGTAAGAGAGAGAATACCTCCATTTTTACACAGCTCCTACAAAACATGGAGAGCAAATCAAATAAAGAGAAAAATTATTAACATAAAGAATATATTAAACCCAGTCAACTTTTAAAGTAATAGAACATATTAAACCCAGTCACCCTCTGAACATATATAAATATATCAAGCGCTAAGTGCAAAGCAATGCATAGGGATTCCTTTTTACGACGTGAAGCTTTTATGAACGAAAGCATTCATGAATTGTATATCATATATACATATATTATGTACATACAATATTTATTTAATAAACCAAACTTATTCCACAGAAGGTAATCATTTTTCTTTAAATATATAGAAAATTTGACTCTTAATAAGATAATAGAGAAAAATGATTCATATAGCCGACCACAAGTAGTGGGATAAAGATTTGATGTTGTTGTATCATTCAATAAAAATAATTTCAAAATTATAAGTTAAAAAATCATTCAAACACATAAACGATAAAAATATTTAAGTGTTGCTAGAATATATAACAACAACAACATCAAGCTTTTATCCCACTATGCGGGGTTGGCTACATGAATCTTTTTTCTCCATTGTGCCTAGGTCTACCCCTACCTTTCTTAAAATATACCATTTTCATGAGATTAAGTGGCCTGCTAAATACAAAAAGGCGAAGGCAATGTAGAGTGATAGAGAGCGCGAAATGAGGAAAATATAAACATATTGAGAATAAAATTATGATCAAGAAACTCCTAGAGCCAACAACAAAAACTATTGAAAAATATATAAGAACTAATAGGAAAGTGAGCATAAATAGAATAAATACAAAGAAACATCGAACTCCAGCAAGGAGAACGGAAAATCAATGAGCAAGACTTAATCAGCATGAGAAATAGTGAGGAAAACAAACAATGATACCTACTTATTGAGGTAGATGTTGAACTAACCCAAGAAATATGAACCAAATTTTTTCTCAAAGCAGGAGCCAAGCACACAACCCTACAATGCGACGTGTCGATGTGACACGATGCACACACTTTGTTGTGAGCTTGCACTTCACAGAACAAGCAATGCTCAAGATCAACATATTCACACCTAAAGTACACTTTAAGTATATATGCTTGGCGAATTCCATTAGCCAATTAACAGATAAAATTCAAAAGATATCAGCAAGGTTCAGAGGGCATCCCGGTCATCAATACTTTAAAAAACAGGCAATGCAAAATTTTCATTGACAATATATCCTTCTACCAAAACTACCTTGCATTCAAGCATCAATATAACCAATGCCATCAGCCACAAAAAAAAAAAGGAGACTGACAACATGAACAGGGCACCTTATTTTTAAGCAGACGATCTCTGAATAGTTTTTGCTGGCACAAGGAAAGAAGATAGTGCAATGATGCCTCACATTGCTGGAAGATGAAATTGGCAGTTTTCTCAGCAATACAAAGACTTGACGAGTTGCATAAGACATTATGATTTAGCATGGACAACTCCATATGCAATAGCCTAAAAGTCGCTTGCACAGAATCAAACGCTACATCCATAAATATATCAACCTGAAAAACAAGAGAGAGGGCATGAGTAATTGCCTGAATATGTGATGTAAGAATGTCAAGCATTATTACAAGTAAATCCATATAAAAGTCAATTGCAAGGTGCAGACAATGCTACTTCAATTTAACAAGTATGTTATCCGAAATGCACTGTAGATCAATTTTTTGTCATTCTGAAGTTAAAGAAATCTAGGTCAACCTAACAGAATGTTGAACCATTGTTTGAATATGCAACAATTAATGAAATTATTGAAAATAATTATGAAAAAAGTACAACGCCTCAATGATTATAACCAAGCTAGTGCAAGAAAAAAAAAACAACATAATTACTTCTATGTAATAAAAATTTCACGTTTCTCCAGCTACTATTTTCGTAATCTGTCAAACAAGGGGATGAATAGGCTTGCAATTTTGTAGAAAATAGTATTGTAAATCCAATTAAGGTTCCTTTCCATCACCCTATAATTTAAGATAAAAGAGCATACATTCTGTTATATATTTAGTGAAACTGTCAAACACAAAATATGCTGATTTAAGTTGGGTTGCTAGAAATAATAATATCAACCACTGATAAATAAAAAATAATAATCTTATGCAAAAAATTGGCAAAGATATTTTATTTTGTTTTTCCCGCAATCAACTTTGTTTCATTATAAGCGTGCAATCATCAACACCTCCAAATAGAAAAAAATATTTGAATTTCTAAACATGCAAGTGTGAAATAACTAAATGGATAATGGCATTAAACCTGGGAACATAAATCAATAATCCGACCACCCACACCATTAGTTTAATCTGAACAGACATTTTAGTTCAACTATGTGAATCATTAGTTTCCATTCATTCTTTTAATGAATGAGATGTTAACTTTTGCATACAAGTTCTTATGCACAACAGCAAGCCATGTGAACTTTGATTTAGCTATTTTTCTTTTGTTTCTTTCACATTAATTCTATTGATCATGATTTTAAAAAAACATTTCACACATATACCTCAAACCCCTCTATATTCCGAGGCATGAAAAAATTGAATTAAGGATTATTCCTCAATTAGTTTGAACTAAAGTAACAAGATCGATTGAGGCATTAGGGTAAGCATGTGAACCGCATGCTTCAATATTTTTATTGTTTTTGAGCGAAATGTAGACTTTGGACTTCATTCGGTTCAAGCATTTGGGTAGAACACAGAACAAGATAGCGTAAATGAGAATTTGTGAATCCATAGCCGTGTAATGTCTCACTAGTTTATTATTGTATCCATAAGCATTGTGAAGATTGTTTTTCAAGAATTAGGTTTTTGGTGAATTTGATCTTCCTAGGTAGTGAAGGAAGCCACAATGTCATATTCCTTCAAACCATGTAAGAGCTTGTTTTAGCATTCATAGTCGAGACGATAGACAACAGTCTCCATAAACAGTTAGCTCAACGACTCTGTCGCTTGAAGACTCAGGCAAACTATGCAGAATCCATCAATCTTATGATCATTTCTCTAACTCTCCATCATATTGGTAGTTGGCAAACTATCTCCCTCTTTTTTTCTAGACATCATATGGAGGCGTTCACGTGCACAATAAAATCAATAAAAATTTGATGAAATGCTACTGATAGAGATTTAAAAATTAAAAATAATCATGCATGCTAAATTGTTGCTATTGTCACCTTCGGTTTCACTAATGAGGTAGCTCATTTCAGCTGTAGTGTTATCTTCTTTTTGGGATATTTTTCATATGATGATAGAATTTTATAAATGAAAATTAGTGACCAGAAAGCATTGTGATATTGAAGAAGCAATTTATATTTTATTTTCAACGTTTTACTGAAAATTAGTTGGTGAAACTAGACACTCTTGAGATACTATGTGACAGTTAGGTCACCTTCTTGAATTCACTAATGTATATTAATTAATTACGCTATATAGGAGTAAGCCGCATCATAAAACATTTGTTGCTTGTCAATTGATATTCAACATAAACCTAAGAAGCACGCATAAAGGCTCATCATTATTAGGTATGCATAATTATTTCCAAATAATGCTGGCCGTTATATGCATAATTACTTCCAATCAACATGCAGACCATGCTAATTCTAAATTGCAAAAGTCCTACGCAAAACCTAGTTATTGCTACTCCATTATTGTTATCTCCCCGTGTTAGGTTTGTCACTTCTGATTTTCGTTGTAAATAGCACAATCACACGAGTATTGTTAATGATTTAAATTAAACATTTTCAGGTCTCCATAATATTCTCTTGATGAGTACCCTAAAAGCACCCCTCTAAACATTAAAATTTGATCCAGTTAGTTATACACTTATCCATATCCTCAAAAGTTTTATAAAAATTCTTAATGCTTGAATACATCAGACCTACGTATCACTTGATCATCTACTAGCCATGTAAATTAGCTTATAAAATAAATATCTTAATCTTTGCTGAAAAAGTTTTAATTTAAGTAGCTTAAATGCAGTAATTATATTTTAAGATTGTTATATTGGGTATGAAAGCTAATTATGAAGAATCATTCAAACATAACGAGATGTATAATCGTGGCACAAAGAGAATTCCAAATATTAACTCCAGCATTTTTTTTTTCAGCTATAACTCCTTAATTTCCTAATTCCCCTCCCTCACTCACAAATAATTCTCACCTTTCTAACCCAAGCTTCAGCCAAGAAATATGCCTACCAGAAATGTAAAACTCATAAAAGGATTTACATCTGCATTGAGCAAAGAGCCTGCATAGGAGGCAAGAAGGAGGAAATAAACGAATATTTTTTTTTTTTTAAGGAAATAAACGAATATATATATATATATATATATATATAGTGGTCATCCATGAGATAAGGAAGTCATTGATTTATCTAGTGGTCATGACTGTTTATGCAAGTCTAATCATTTTTTTAAAAAATGCCATAAACGGAGGTAGTTATGCATGTCCATCTTAAACAAACCTAAAAATGCTATATACTAGGTTGTTTAGGAAAGCCAATAGCAAGATGCTTTCAACTTTTATGGAGAAATGCATCAACAAATAGTCTGGGCTGTTGTGTAGGTCCTACACGTGTAAAATTCTCCAAACACTTACGTAGCAGATGCATAGAAACCTCTAACAAAATTAGTGTAAGACATTGGAGTTATGATGCCATGAGCCAAAAAAATGTTAGTTTCTGACACGTATAAATGTAAATGGATAGTTTAGTGAGTCATGTTGAGTTCAGATTATGATTTATTAGGTTTTTATACGTTCTTAATGGGTCTTTTTAAAGTTTCCTTAAAAAGGAATCAGGATTATCCAAAATCAATGAATGAAGAAACTTTGCTTGCTCCCTCCTCCCCTATGATTGCCTAGAGTTGAGGGCATCGTTATATTGCCCAACTCTTCCTCCTTAATAAATCTTAGGAATTTTAGGTATCCTCAAAATTGACTAGTTATCATGTAATTTATTATTTTTGTGTTTATATGATTTTGAGTTTTGATCATATCAAATGATGCTCTCATTAAACACTTGCTAACACGTGCCTTCATAACATCTTGACTTGCCCAATCATAGAAATCTACCGCTACCTCAAATTCTTTTCCAACCAACAAACAGCTCTAATATGTACATATTAATTTACATATATATATATATATATATTAATATAGTATATATATATATATATATATATATAATATATAATAAATATAATATATAATGTTGTATGTTATTGTTTATATACTATGTATGTATATATATATATATATATATATATATGCAAGATCAGTAAGAAGTGGGTGGGTAATTATAAGAATAAATGTAAATGGGTAGTTTGGCGAGTCATTTGTAAGTCATGTGAGTTTATAGGTTTATTAGGTTCTTTAATATATTCTTATGGATCTTTTAATGTTATAAATACCCCTCCTTAAGGAGAAAATTAGGGTTACCCAAAATCAATAAATGAAGAAGCTTTAGTCACTTGCTCTCCCTCATTAATGACCACCTAGAGTTGAGGGCATCCTCAAAGTGCGCAGCCCTTCCTCAATCAATCTTTGGAGTTTTAGGTATTTTTGAATTGTCTAATTATCATACATCTTGTTGTTTTTATGTGTTTCTATAGGTTTTTTTAGTTTTATTCGAATAAGTTTCATTCTATGACCAAGGAATAAAAACATTCAACTTAGTAACAAAAGAGGCGCAAGTCTGATTTTTTAGTACCTTAGGATGAGCAAGCATAACATTAGCAATATCTTGCCATTGTGATGAGATATAACCTGTTAAGAGATGAAAACTACAAGCAACAAGAGCAGCATGTATAACGGGTAGGGATCTTCCAACATAATTGTCCTACAAAACGAATTCACCATTTCTCAAAACTTTATTATAAATCATACAAATGTGACTCCCGAGGTTTTAAATGGCAAGTATAATTAGGAAAAAGAAACTATACCTGATCAGATTGAGCAAGAACAATCAACATGAAAATCACCAAATCAATCACTTGTTCAGATAGTTTTACATCGTCAAGCAGAATCTGAAAGAAAATAGCATAGAAAAAATGACCACCCCCTTATATATATATATATATATGAAGCTATAGAAAGGGATAAATTTTTAAGAAGAGACTTTGAGCGAATATCATATGGCAAAATTGAAATAAAAAATTAAGTAGATGATTATTCTTAAATTAAATGACATAAAGTAAAACAAATTTCTTATATGCCTATTCTCATATTTCTTTTTGAAATATATCTTACACTTCAAATAGTCTTGAAAAAAACTCATTGTACTATAAAACACTTAAATAAATAAAATTAACAAATAAATCATAAATTAGAAATAAATTTTATTTCTTAAACATTACAAAATTATCTAATTAATACAATATTATTCATTCATAACTATGATTAATGAATGATGCAAGATGACTCAGGATTAAGATACCTAATGCAACTTGTACAATGCGTAGGATGTTTTAAAGAAAAAAAAATTTTTTTGAAGGATTCATAGATCACAAGTTACTGCTTACATCAACAACATACTTTCTTTAAATAAAAATACATGATGGTAGAGTTTAAGCCCTACTAATAATAAAAAGATCATAAATATCCAAAAAATTTATCAAGGATTTGAAAACAAATAAAAGCAGTTAGCAAACAAATTAATTATCACAAAGTGGGAAAGCATAAGGATAATTACAGCTAATATATTCCTAAACAATTAAAAATTATATACTATCCCTAAACATATCAGGTCAAAATAAATTTAAAATCAAATTATTTCATAGCCCGCCAACTAATAAAGCAGAAAAAATAATAATAAATCTTGTCATTGAATTCATGTCTTGATAAATGATCTCCATCACAACTGCACTCCAGGCTTAACAAATTAAATGCAAATGAGTTGTTGCTTATAATTCCTGGAAAAATGCTTGACATTGGTGTAGCTTTGTTGGAGAAACCAAGCATCTAAGATTAGAGCATAAAGGCCTAAGCACATAGAATTGTCATCATCATTAGCACACAAATTAGCATACCATGTCAAATAAAGAATGGATAGCATCATATTTTTGGCCAATATATCCTAACGAGGCTGCATTTTATATTGATGCATACTTTCCACAGCATTAAAGTGTTCTTAAGATGAAGCGTACACTTCTTGAACTGAAACATATGCTTGATGATGCTTTTAAATAATGGAAAGCTTAAGCTTCAATTTTTCTTGAATTATGACACCTAATTCAACTTTATATGCAATTAGGAAATTTGGAAAATAAAATAGCCAAAATGCAAAAAAAAACTTATTGCTTCTTATCTATAGAAGATCCTCTTTTATAGCTTCAAGCCAAAAAACAAAAAACAAAAAATTGTTATTTTCACCTCATTATATCTTTTATCATATCTTGTCTTTCACCCAGAGGCGGAGCCAGAAAAAAATTTTAATGGGGGCACAAATTAGGACTCCTCATTAAATTACTTTCAAAATTTTATTTTTTTTAATGTAATTACTAATCATAAGATTTTTTTTAATTAAAAATTAAAAAATACAATCAAATATATATTTGATCTAAAAAGGAATATATATCACTCTCTCTCTCTCTTATCATTCATTAAGAAATTAAGAATGTTAACCAATTGAGTTCAAATAAATTAATTTTATACTTAGGAATATTTTATTTGAGTTAATTGAATTAAGTCTAAATTTTAAATTATATTTAGATTAACTATATTTAAATTATTAGATAATATTCTACCTATTTCTAAATTAATTTGGCGTGATGATTCACATTAGTTAAAGAAAATAAAAAATTAAAAAAAAAATTAACCCTATTAAATTAATTAAGTTACTAAGATTTTTTAAAACTTTTTATTTGTTAATTAATTTATTGTCTTTCTAATGCACATCTCTTTCTTATTATTTAAAAAAAAATTGGCAGTTGTAAGTCTAATTTCCAAAAAAAAGAGCTCTATAATGAGGGCAGTAATCTTGGTCAAATAGAAAGTAAGAGAGAGAAAGTAAAGAGAGAGAGCCCAAGAGAAATAGAGGGAGAGAGGGGGGAGATAAAGGAGAGAGAGAGACAACAGGAGAGAAATTGGTCCACGTCATCTGGAAAGAAAAGTTGGAGCAAAGGCCGAGCGCCGAGGCAAATGAGGATGGCTTATTAGTTTAGAAATTAGATTTAATCCTTATATATTAATTACTGTATTAATATAATTTAAAATAAGTTGAATTTAATTGTTGGGCCAGTGGGGGCCCGTGCCCCCAGGTACCCCACTGTAGATCCGCCCTTGCTTTCACCTCATACTATTTACACTCTTTTCCCATCACCTTTGACCTTACACACTGTCACCCATTTATTTTTATTTTTCTTTGGATTATTTATCATATTTTCTTCCCCCCTTCATCCAAGTTTAACACCTAATCTATATTAATCTTCACTATTTAATAAGGGACCCCATCCATTATTTCACAATTTCAATTTTAACTTGTCATTATGTATTATTTATTTAAAGCTTAAGTTCATTATAAGCATGCTCTAATGCTTCTTCATGAAATATATAATGCCGCCCCACCAAATTAGAAGGCAAGTGGACCCCCTCCCAAGATGGCAATTCCTCCAATATGGGGATGCGGTTTTTCTCTCCCGTAGGAAATGCTTGATGAGTTGATGGATTGAGCCTGCACAGCAACGAGCATAACTATATGGCATTTCCTGCAGTCCATTTCCCCTAGCCACCTTGCCATTTGAACTCTGCATGGTAACCTGGTAGGCAGTTGATTTTTAGCAATCTTGGCTGATTTTTAGTGATATTATCTATTATATTGAATGGGTTTTTACATCAAAAATTTGTTATGTTATTAGATTTTTTTATTACTATATTAATTTCTTCCTTTTTTTCACCCTTGTGAACCTCTATAGTAGTATAGATTTCGGTCAATCAAAGTATGGAGAATTCTACCTCTCTTGCTCACTATTTCTTTCCTTCTTTCTTCTATGATATCAAAGCTAGGTTATAAACTATGGCCAATAACAACAAGAGGGCCTAATTGGGTCAAAAGCAAAGATAGAGAGAGAATCGGTTCTTCTTCCACCCTAACAAGCCACACCATCATTCCAGGAACCTTTGAAGGTCATCTACCTCTTCAAATAGCATCCCACAATGTGCATAGGAAGAACTTCTTACAGTGATCTCACTAAGTTTAAATGGTGATCTGAGAAAGGGGAAAGATTAAATACATAAATAACACCATATGTCAACCTGATGTGGTTGAAGTGTTGAACATTCCTTTCCAATGTGTGATACCAAAATGACTTGGCTTATCAATTCTATAGAGGAACACATCGGATCCCTATAACAAGGTGTTTTCAAATCTTGAAAATTCAACTCCATTGTGTGAATTATACATAAGATTAAGCTTGTGACATCAAGCAAGGAAACATAAGCTGCTGAATACTTCACCACATTCACAAAAATTTATCAAGAAATGGATATCTTCAAGACAAATGATTGGTGTGACTGCTGATAAATACGTCAACTTATGGAAAAAAATTACATATGATTTTCTTGTCCATCTCCGAAAAAATCCAAATGAAGTTTGTGGAAGAATTCTAGAGACTTGTCCACTTCTCAAAATTGAAGAAGTACTCGCCGAAGGTCAAAAGGAATAAAGTAGATGGAGAATAATGCTTGGAAGTCAAGAACACTCTCCTTCATAAAGAATCTGCACTTACAATCAGAACTTTGGAGCAAAGCCCAAGACACAACTCAAAAGCGTGGAAATGGGACAATCTTTGATGTGATGTCTGAAAAAAAACCAATCATACTAGAGAAAATTTATAGAAACTTCACGGTAACCCTAGAAACCAGGCACTCATCAAACTAAAAATAGAGGGACCGAAGCTAAAAAATAGTTACAATTCTAGTATCATTTCCTTGAACAATGAGCAGATAAATGTTCTATACAGATTAGCTGTGTAAACCCCAAATTTGATCAGATATATGCCACGTTAACTTAATTTACAAATATCCCAAAATCTCAACTTCCATGAAATGTTCTGCTCGTTGAATGGAGCACTTCAATATATAGAATTATATGTTGAATTGCGAATGAATGGAAATTAGGGAATTAAATCTAATTTGCATTTTTTCCTTCAAATATATTCATGTTTAAATATACAAATTACTGTATCAAGGTCAATTTATCTCTCGGCAAAGGCATATACCAGAGCAAGCATTGGATAGCCGTTTGGGCATACTTAGGTAATTGCACTTTTTTGGTGCTTTAATCAATTCCAAAACATGTTTAGTGCTTCAATTAATTTCCCTTGTCAACCGAATCTCATTTTTCTCTTTGCTGGGAGCTTGCTGAAGTGCTGAACCAGGATTAGGTAGCTGAAGGCAGAGCGGGTAGGAAATAGGAGCGGATTCTGGAGCTAGCCGTGGCAGGTAAGTGGATGGGAGTGTTGGTTGGGTGAGATAGGTGGGATGTAGATGCTAGCGGCCATGTGTAGGGTTGGTCAGTGAAATGAGGGAGAGATTAATGAGAAGAGGAAGAGAAAGAAGAGGATAGGGGTTATGTTGACTATTTGAATGGTTGGTTGGGGCATACATGAAGATAGTGGAGTAAGGGTGATAGTAAGGAAGCTATGATGCACCGACACTTCTCTTAACAGGGCGTGCAGTGACCGACACGTATCGAACACGACATGCATCCGACACACTCCTGACATGTGTCGGACAAACCAAAAACGTGTCCGATTTAAAAATATATTAAATACTAATTGGACACGTGTGTCTTAAATATTTCATAAATTTTTTTTAAATATATTTTCTTGTATTTAAAATATTTATTTATATAAAATATAAAAATTAAATTTCTTATCTCATATCCAAAACACCAAATCAGTCGCCCGCCCTCAAAACCTCATTCATCAAATGTCTCATTTCCATCTTTTTGGGGGGTCATAACTTTGATTTTACAACAATACCCGATGTTATCTCAACATTGATGCCTGACATCGTTACAACTTCG